CGTGCTTCTGCGGGACACGCTATCCACGGCCCAGTCCCCAAGCGCAAACGCCCGAGCCTTTCCGAGGCCCCTGCCCCATGGAGCGGAGCGACACGCTATCCGCTCGCAAGACATAGCGTGTCGCCAGGGCCGCCGCCGCGACACGGTGAGCAAACGTTCCTGACTGCAGGAGGATGGGAAGGAGGAAGAAGAGCGTCCGGGGAAAAAGGCGGTGGGGGGAGGCGACGAGGAGGAGCAGAAGGGGCGTCGATGATTACCAGTGATGCTGTCCAGCTGCGCCTCCGGCAGGCAGAGGCTTGTGCAGCTGATATTGGCGCGGCGTTGCCTGCAGCACTGAGTCAGGTTGTATGAATACTGCCGGGGTGAAGGCCCACGGGACTTTGGATGAGGAGACCAGTGAGCTCGGTCGAATGCGCACCCTCGCCAACTGAGCGGCAGACGCGATCGCGAGCGAAACGGCCCAGTCCCACAGCACGCGGCGCAGAGCATCTGAGCAGTCCGGTTGCGCTTCAAGATGTTGAGGGTGTCGCCAAAGTTTTGGGCAGAGTGGCACCAGGCCGCGTATTGCTCTCGACCCTCAAGCGCTTTCCCGAACCGGCCTTGGTCAGGAGAAGAAGGAACACACAGACACAAATAATCGTCGACTCCCAGGAAAATATTGAAAAATTTGGGAAATAGGGGGGGGGGAAGACGACAAACCCGAAAATATGCGAAAGTACTGGTAGTCCTCGGAGGCCCTGCGGCTGGAGGCCCCCGGGAGGCCCCCGACGCTCGGCTTCTCGTGGGCCGCGCGAGCAGGCCCCATGTTGTAAGACGTTCCCTTCACCAGTCTGCGCCTTCAGGGCCCTGGCCAGACCTGAGGCCAGACCTTCGGGGCCCTGGCCAGATCCGCCGCGGGGGGGCTGCGATACGTGTCGCCGGAGAAAGCAGTTTTTTTCCCGGAAAGGACATAGGCCCAGGGCCCTTTTCGTATGTAAACTTGTCCCCGGTGCCTCAACTGAGGTGGGCTGGCGGATTTTTTCCTTGAGAAATATCGAGGTCGAGGTGGGCCGGCGGATTACGATTTGAGGATGTCTCAGGCGGAACGCTTGTTTTTGAAATCCCGATCGATAAATCACAGGGTGCGGGCCACCTCAGCACGACCACACCCCAGCACGACCACACCCCAGCACGACCACACCCCAGCACGACCACGCCCCAGCACGACCACCCCCCAGCACGACCACCCCCCAGCACGACCACCCCCCAGCACGACCACCCCCCAGCACGACCACACCCCAGCACGACCACACCCAGTCGCACCTCCGTGGAATGTTTCGTGGGGTGTCTGGTTGAGCGGTTGCTTGTTCGTGGGGTGTCTTGTGGAATGTTTCACGGGGTGTCTCGTGGAATGTTTCGTGAGGTGTCTCGTGGAATGTTTCGTGAGGTGTCTCGAGGGATGCTTCGCGGGTGTCTGGTGGGATGTTGCGTGAGGTGTTGCCCAGTTGGGTATCGTGAAAACGTGACCATGCTGCACATGTCTCTATCCCTTTCCGGGTTCGTGGGTCCATCATGTTTTGTTCTGGACGTTTGCGAGTAGGCACGTCTACGAGTAGCGGAACGCGCTCGTTGAGCTACCTTTCCAACGCGCACTGGAGGCGGAGGCAGTCTTAGGGGAGCGAAGAGTGACATAAACATACAAATTCTGAGGTCCGCGCGGATTTCTCGGATCGGCGCTGGGGCCCCCCTGGCGGCGCCTCTGGCGCCGCCCCTGGCGCCGCCCCTGGCGCGCTCCGCGCGCCAGGGAGGGGGGTCCAGCGCCGATCCGAGAAATCCGCACGAACCTCTGAGTTTTTGTCTTTATGCCACTCTGCGTTCCCCTAAGACCGCCTCCGCCTCCAGTGCGCGTCGGAAACGTAGCTCAACGAGCGCGTTCCGCTACTCGCAGACGTGCCTACTCGCAAACGTCCGAACAAAACATCTGGAGCGCGCTCGTCGAATGGCGTGCGACGTGGCGTCGTCGGCCCGCTTCTTGCGCGCTGCCTCCCGCCTTGGGGACGGCGTGCGCCGAAGAAGCCCTGGCACTGTGGAGGGCGATCCATGGAGAGGGAGCGTGCTGCCAAATAACTCCCAGATGTCTAAAACATGTGTTAGACACGCTTTTGAACATGTAACAAAAACATGTTCAAGCCATGTTCAGGACATCTTCCTACACTTGAAGCACATTTGAAATTCAGTGATAGGGTTGCTAGGGTGTCCAAGGAAGTGGCATCCACAACCCTGGCAGGGGGGGACAGCGCGCGCAGCGAGGGGCCCCTCGTGGGGGCATCGCCCCCCCCACACAGGGGCAGCTCCCCAGAGACCGGTGCTGCACGCTGGCCGTGCCCGGCGCCAGCCGCACACGCCCTGCTCCGAGGGCGTCCCGAGCCCTGCCTCGGGCGCGCCCTGGCCGCCGAGGCGGGCTTCTGCTCCTCCTCCTCCTCCTCCTCCTCCTCCTCCTGCTCCTCCTCCTCCTGCTCCTCCTCCTCCTCCTCCTCCTCCCCCTCCTCCTCCCGCGGGCGAGCCGCGCTCTGCCTGGCACGGTCCCGTGTTCTGCACCGCGCCCTGGCCTGCGGGGGGGGGTCCTTCGCTCGCACCCGGGCGGGCCGCCCGGCTCCTCGCAGGACCGGGGCGGGAGGGCATGTTCGGAGGATCGCGGCCGCACGGGGCTCCTCCTCGGGGCTCCGTGGGACTGGGGCAAGCGGCTGTTCTTGCCAGCCTGGGGCATATCCCTATCCCCATGCTGGGCATCTCCTCATCAGAAAGAGCGTGTTCTACCGCTGCTGGCGGAAAACCGGGGGGGGTCACTACCGGTTCGAACCCCTCCCCCCCCCCCCCCTCCGGAAAACCGGGGGGGGTCACTACCGGTTCGAACCCCTCCCCCCCCCCCCCCTGCTCATCATGAAAAGGGGGGGGGGTCACTACCGGTTCGAACCCCCCCCCCCCCCCCCCCTCGAAAACCCAGTGGGGGTGCGGACAGAGGTGGGGACGGTGTTGGTGGGACAGTGGTGAGGGGATAGCGGGACAGTGGTGGGGACAGTGGGACAGTGGGACAGTGGTGGGGACGGTAGTGGTGGGGACAGTGGTGGGGACAATGGTGGGAACAGGGGGGGACAGTGGACAGTGGTGGTGACGGTGGTGGTGGGGACAGTGGTGTGGGGACAATGGGAATGAGGTGGAAACAGTGGGACAGTGGAGGGTACAATGGTGGTGGGGACAGTGGTGAAGGCGGTGGCGAGGACGGCGGTGGGACAATGGGACAGAGGTACAGTGGGGACAGTGGTGGGGACAGTGGGGACAGTGGTGGGAACAGTGGGACAGCTCAGTGGGACAGCGGAGGAGTCAGTGGGACAGTGGGGACAGTGGGGATAGTCGGGCAGTGGTTGGGGCCGTGGAGACAGTGGGGAGAGTGGAACCGTGGTGGGAACAGTTCTGGGGACAGCGGGGACAGTGCGACAGTGGTGGGGCCACTGGTGGGGACAGTAGGGGCGGTGGTGGAACCAGTGGGGACAGCGGTGGTGAGGACAGTGGTGCTGGGAACACCAGTGGGGGATGTGATGCGGACGGTGGTGGGGACCGGGAGTCGTTTGCTGGCGGTGAGTAGGGGGGGGGGGGGGGGGGGGGGGGGGGGGGGGGGGGGGTTCGAACCGGTAGTGACCCCCCCCGGTTTTCCGGATCCGAAGGGGGGGGGGGGGGGGAGGAGGGGTTCGAACCGGTAGTGACCCCCCCGGGTTTTCGGCGGGAGGGGGGGGGGGGGGGGGGGGGGAGGGGTTAGGGGAGGGGGGGGCTTTGCCGGGTGAGGGGGGGGGTGGGGGGGGGGGGGTGGTTCCAGCAGGGGGGGGGGGGATTTTCGGAGGGGGGGGGGGGGCGGCCCCCGGGCTCCGGAGGAAAAGGTTGGCAATTTTCCACAGTAGAGCGGCGGTGGATCACGCTCTCTCCCTCATCACGATGCCAATCTTAGGGGTGCCCTTCGTTTTTGAGGGCGAATCCCTCAGATTGTCATCGCCTTTGGGCGTGTCAACCTTAGGGATAGGGACACGTTCGAGGCTGGCAACGTTCCAGAGCCCGGGGATCCGCAGGCGCCTCTCCCAGGTCTGTGCGGAGGCCGTGGGCCCCTACGTCCCCCGAGGGCGCATCAGGGGCAAGCCTCCGGCTGGGCTCCCGGGCAGCAGCGGCTCCCAGGCCCCAGGCCCGGCCAGCTCCTTCAGGCCTCCTCGAGGCTTCGGTGGTTGAGGCAAGGCAGGTCTTGGCACTTGATAATTGGTTCCGGCCCAGCTTGTTGCCTATTTGGTCTGCGATGTGCATGTTCCAGCAGATGAAGGGACAGCAGAAACAGACGCCGTGTCTTCCTACGCTTCCAGGTGTGCTTTTTGGTCCCCCAGAAACGCCACTGGGCCCTATGTAGATGTGCATTGTTTGTTCGATTCTTTCCTTCGCCAGTTTGAACCTCGCCAGCGGTGAGGCCCAGGCAGCCATGGGAATAGGAGGGGGAGACAAAGTACGAAGCAGACGTTCTATCGCAAGTGCATTCCACTGAAGGCACGGCCACCAAGAAATACGACGTGAAACCATGACGCTCCGTTCTTGCTCAGGCCTGCACAAGCGAACACAGGAAACCACGCAAATATGTCCCAACGATTTTCGTTGCCAGAACAGCGTAGAGCCGATCATGTTTCAATGGTTACAATTCCGAAAGCTCTGCTGCCTCGCCCACGGTCCGACAGGGTGGACTCTGGCAACCGTGCGTCGCTAAAACATCATATGCGCCTTTGGTCCTTCTCTCCGATGGCTCATAACACGGCGTAGCATGATCTGCATCATTCATGCAGCGTGCATCATGACGGGTCGCGAATTTGGTCGTGCTTGTAGAGCCTGACTCTTTTGAGCTTGTGTGTTGCTGAGATCACTGTGTTGCCCGCCCATCATGCCAGTAATAATTTCTCAGGTGTCTTAGCCCTGAGAGGCGCAACATCTGATAGTTACCGCGGCTATGCCTGAGGAAGTACGCCGTGTAGCCTAGGTCTGGTCCCAAACGGCGTAATTTGTGCCTATGAGAGAGCACGGGACGCCAGCTTTGAACGCCGATTGCCGCCGTGGATGCAGCTGCCGCCGTCGCCTCCCATCCCCTCTCGCTCGATCCCTGGCCAGTCGCGTGTATCTCTTGACGGTGGGGGCGTGGGCTCAGAAATGTGCCCAGGAGTCTTCAGACCTTGGATGAATCCTTCTCTGATGAGGGCGGCGGTGCTATCCATGGCCAATCCTCAGGTGGTGTTCCACCAGCTCCCAGACCCTGGATCCCTTAGTGGGGCTCCAGAGACGGGGGGTCAGTGCAAACGGGGGTCAGTCAGAGCGCCGGATCTTGCAGGATCCTGCAGGGCCACGGCCGCACTGACCCGGGTGTGGGCACAGGGCCCTGCAGGCTCCCGCAGGACTGTGCAGGGCCCCGCAGCGCCTGGCTGACCCGGGTCTGGACCGACCCAGGGCTCCTCCTCCGCTGCCTCGCCGTGTCCTCTTAGAGTCAGGAGGGAAAGAAACACACAGGCACAATTAATCGGCGATTCCCCAGAAAATACAGGAACATATGGGAAGTGGGGGGGAAGACAAAAACCAAGAAAATATAGGAACATATGGGGGGTCATTTTATTGGTGTGTATTTCTTTTGTGTGTCCCAGGGCCCCTTCATGGAGGCTCGGCTCCTCTGCCTCGGGGGCCGGCGGAGCGGGAGCGGAGCGGGGGCGAGCGGGAGCTGGCGCAGGGGCGGGAGGGCGGCCGGGGGCGGGCTCGGCGGGGCCGGCCGGCGCGACGAGGCCCCGCCCCCCGTGGGGCTGCTGGCAGGGCGGCGCCCACAGAGCCTCGCGCCGAAGGGCCCGTGCGCCCCCCCTTTGCCCTCTGCCCGGGGAGCCCGGCCTCACCGGATGTCGGACGTCGACCCGCTGACGAACGAGGACTGGTGGGCCCCTCCGCGCCTCCCCTTCCTCCTCCTCCTCCTCCTCCTCCTCCTCCTCCTCCTCCTCCTCCTTGTCCTTCTACGCTAGGCTCCTCCTCCTCCTCCTCCTCCTCCTCCTTCTCCTCCTCGCCCGACCACAAGAGAAACCCTCCACAAGAAGCCCAGCCCTGAGACCCCAGGCCGTTCCTTGGGTTTGGGTGTGGGAACGTCACCCTCTTCCCAGCAAAACCATCGAAACCCAAGAAACCCAGGGCACCCTGGAGGCAAGCAGGGTGTTTCTTGGCATGGGCCTCCACCGCATATTGTGTGCCCGTCGGCGCCGGATGGGCGACGCGCGCGCCCAGAGGCCTTCTGGTGTGAGTTCCGTGGCGGGCGCTGTCCGGCCACACCGCTCGCGAAACTGCATGCTACAAGATCTTGTGCTCTATGCTCGGGTCGGACGTTTATTCTTATGCTATCATTAGTATTAGTGTTAGTATTATTATCATCATCTTCATCCTTATAATTATTAGTAGTAATATTGTTATTATTCGTATTCCCGTTATTATGATTATTATTAATTATTTTTAGTAGTAGTATCTTTATTATGTTTATCATTATTTTCATTGTATTATGAATTGCTTGAACAGAGGAACACCGACCTAGTATGTCCCTGTGCGTCCCGTGAGTCTTTCTCCTCCTCCTCCTCCTTCGGCCTCCCTCGCTTCCGCTTGCGCTCCCTCCCTCGCTGCGGCCCCTCTTTCTCCCGAGAACCACCGCTCGGACCGGCTGCTCTCGGACTTCCTGGGGCTGAAAGACGAGCAGCCGCCCCCTCAGCGGCGCGGCTGGATGGGGTGGCTGCGCGGCCATGGTGTGCGGCAGGTCGTCGGAAGGCCAGGGCCGCCTCCACGAGTGCCTGCCGTAGGCTCTAGTCGGGCGTGTCCTTCTATAGGGGGAATATTCAAAAATTATCCCAGTGCTACCTAGGAGTTGGAGCCCCCAGGAAAGCAGCATTAGTAGTAACAGTAAAGCTAAGCTAAAGCTAAGCTAAAGCTAAAGCTAAGCTAAAGCTAAGCTAAAGCTAAGCTAAAGCTAAGCTAAAGCTAAGCTGAAGCTAAGCTGAAGCTAAGCTGAAGCTAAGCTAAAGCTAAGCTAAAGCTAAGCTAAAGCTAAGCTAAAGCTAAGCTAAAGCTAAGTAAACTAAGCTAAGCTTAAACCTGAGCTAAGATGAAGCTAAGCAAAATCTAGTATGAAATAAGCTAAGCCAAGATGAGATAAGCAACGCTAAGCTAAGGGGACGTCACTGGGGGAACCGCAGGGCGGATGCCGGGGGAACCGCCGGAGCGGGTTCCACTGCCCGGCCCTTTAAATTTTGCGAGTAAGGACCCTTCTAGGCAGAGCCTAGGTAGGGAAATAGTTTAAAAAATAGTCTGGGGACGATTTCTGAGTATTTTTTTGTTGATTGCATTTTTGAGTATTTTTTGAATATTTCATGTTTCCTTCAAGATTCGCCTGTAGGGGGACATGCCCGACCTAACCGTAGGCCGGCCCGACTTTGGGCCTGGCCGCCTCCACGAGTGTACTCGTGCTGGTTTCGCGGGCGTCCGATCGGGCCTGCCTGTGCTGTGCTTCGCTTGTGCGATGGGTTCGTCTGGACGACACGGTGGGGGCGTTCGTGAAGGAATGTGCCCAAGAGGCTGTCGACAAACCCTGGGGGATTCCTTACCCAACGTGGGTGGCGGTGATATCCATGGCCGATCCACGATTGGAGTTCCACTGGCTTCCAGACCCTGGGCTCCTTGTCCAATGCCCCCACCCGTGCAGCAGGCCAGCGACACTCCGCGCCGCGCGGGGGCGCGCGTTCCTCATTCGGGTCGTGGTGCGGCAGGTGGGGGCGGAAGGCGGACGCCGGAGGACCCGAGGTTCGCCTACGCGCAGGAGCGACTCTTCGCCAGAGCGGCTCTTGCTGCGGGCCCACAGCCACAGTGGCCCTCAACAGCAGCGGCCGGCGCGACCGAGTGTTGCCCTCCTCTCCCCTCTGACGGCCTGTTGAAGCCGCGCGCCCAAAGTCAGTGCTGCCTGGGGTCACCCTCTGCGTGCAGCCGTAAAGATATCCATTCCTCGCCTCCTCGTCCAAGGATCCGATCCGTTTGCTCGGCGGCTCGAAGCTGGGCACGTCTGCCCCCCCTTCAGGCATGCTGTGCTCTTTGTTTTTTTGCAGGGAACGTTTCGCCCGCGGGCTCGCAGGTGGAAGGTTGGCCTTCGCGTGGCCCGGGGATTACTTGTTGCATCTCGTGGGAGCCATCGTTCGCACAGGGGGACCCAATGGAGGACCTAGTATTCTATCACGAGGCAATCGGGACTGCCAGTTTGGCTCTTCGGGTCCCCACAGGTGGGGCCATCAAGAAACGGCCTGGGACGGAGACTTGCCCGTGGGGGCGGGGCCGAGAGCCCCAGAGCGGCCACCCTCGACCCGCGCGGAAGCGCGGCGGTGGGAAGCGGTCCGCCGCGAGCAGGGCGGGGGAGGACGGCGAGGAGAAGGCGGAGCAGGGGGACGGGAGCGCCGCTGCGCTGCTCTTCTTCTCGCGTGCCTGGCCCCCTTGGTTCCGCTGCGCCCACCCAGGTCCAACTCGTCGGCCTCTGCGCGCCGAGATAGGTCAGTTTGCTTGTGCTGCCGCCTCGTTTCCCGCCATGCGAACGCTGCGATCGCAGATCGAGGTCTGCCCAACTTCGAGAAGGGGGCAGGGAGTTGGGCCTTTGGAGCGCGGGGGGGGGGAGGCGGAGAGGAGGGCGCCAGCGGCGGGGCGGGAGTCCCAAAAAACCCCGCCTGCCCCCCGAGGCTGTGCCCAGTGTTCGGGTTCGACCGGAACACGTACTACCTGCTCGCCCTGCAGGTCACACGCGGCCCTCTCGCCATCCTCGTCCTTTCTCCTCGCATCAATTCGGGTTCCCAGCACTTGCATGCGAGGCTTCCGGCCGTCGCTCAGAGGCTCGCCCCGCGCACTGCAGTGTGGTGGCCCGGGTCGAGATGCAGCATGGTGATGTTCGCATTCTAGCACATTCCTCCCCTCCTCCTCCTCCTCCTCCTCCTCCTTGTCCTCCTCCTCCTCCTCCTCCTCCTCCTCCTCCTCCTCCTCCTCCTCCTCCTCTTGGTTCTTTCTCTCGTAAAGGCTGAGACATCCACTGTGTCGGCAGGGTCCCTGCCTGCGGTCGCGGGGGCCATCTTGAGGTGGATGGCCCGAGATGTCGGATTAAGTTCCCTTTTTTGAGTACTGTTTGGGACCGTCTTGGGCGCGTCTTGGGCATGTTCGGGTACGTGGGAAATGTGGGGCCCCTCGCCCCGAAATTCTTTAAGTTGGAGGCTTAGGGCTCGTAAGTACAATCGGCAGTATTTAACGCTGAGGACTCTCAAGGGATCTGAGGGCTCTCCTTTCAGTGCCATTGGTGGGTGGCGGATGACAGCTAGGTCGGCTACTACCGCTACCGCAGCAACTATTATTGCAACTAGTGCGATTCGTTTTACCACGAGTGCTACACCAGGGAGCGGTCGACTTGGGGCCTTGTGGGCGTCTTCCCGTCGCATTCCACAGATCTCATAGTGTTTGAATTCGGTCATCGCTTCATGCGGCTTATCTCTGTCTGGTATCCTTATCAGGCCTATTCTGTGGATGGGGGAGAGAGAGAGAGAGAGAGAGAGAGAGAGAGAGAGACAGAGAGAGAGAGAGAGAGAGCGAGGGGTGGAGGGAGGCACACCAACAAACACAGCAGCGCCAGCAGCAGCAACAACAACACCGACGCACACAGTTTAGACTCTTCGCTCTTATCTGCTCGCGAACCAGTAAACACGTTTATCCCAAACCCTCGTTATCCGCCTTATTCGTCATCGATCGTACCCCCTTGGGGTTATATCTTACTCACCTGCCACGCGTATTTAGCGCAGCCCCTAAACCAGAGGAAGAGCGGACGGATGGAGGGGGGAGAGAGGAGGGTGGAACACGAGAGAGGTTGGCAGGAGGGGGGCTAGGAACAGAAAGCCCATGGCAGGATCAGACGGGCAGATCGGGCGGGTAGACCATAACGGGCGTGTCGGGAAGGCGGGCCCAGGCGGCCAGGTCGAGTAGGCGGGCTGTTGAAGCGTGAGTCCTGCATGGGTCGCGAGGAATTCTCGAGAGATGGCGCGATTTCCAAGCACATCGTGACAAGGGCTAGAGCCACAGCGTGGTTCCTGAGTGTCGAGGGCGCGGCGTCTAATTACATTGGGAGGAGGTATCAGGCGAGAGCGCGATTTCTGCATACAGTGCCAGGAGGCCCCGCAAGAAAGCGCGATGTTGGAACACATTATGAGGAACTCAGGAGGGAGCCGTTTTTTAGGTGTAAAAATTGTACGCGTGGGGGCCAATCTGCGCCCCAAGAATTTCCTTTTGTAAAGAAACAAGGTTCAGTCCCTGCGAGGGGCACTGGAATTGAAAGACGCAATGAGCACCCCGGGGGGGACCATCAATCATTACTCTTCAGAAAGGAGACCTCCACATTGTAGCCAGCGTGGGCCCCAAACCGTGATTTGCTGGAGGCCAAGTATCGGAAGCAAGTCTGACAAATTTGAACTGGCAGCTCCGCTGTTCGCGCAATCATCGTCCACCCACCCGCGACTTGGCTTGTATAGCCCGTGCGACAGCGATTGCGAGTACATGCTTGATGTTGGCGGGGCATCTCTGCGGCCGCGCTCGCCCGCGCATGCTCGCGCGCACAGCGGCCAGCTGGTTTGGCTGGGCCGACGCGGCCGCGGTGGCGCTGACCACTGGGCACTTCCCAGCGGGCACGTCAGCTCGAGCCGGTGGTTTGGGCGGGCGCGGTATCATCGGCAGAGGTGGACACGACGATGATGGTAGCGATGGTGGTGGCGATGATGACGATGACGATGGCAAGGCCGATGACGGCGCCGAGGGTGACCAATCCGATGACGATGACGACGTCCTCGCGTCGGTGATGAAAGTGTTGTACGGAATTCGACATGCGCGCGACCGACGCGCGCGATTGGCCCGCGTATCCTTTGACAAGGATCGTGCCCCCCCCCCGCACGCACGCAATTGCGCTCGAATGAACGTGGGGCAATGTATGTGGTGCAACATACGCGGTGCAACCTATGTGGCGTCATCCAACGTGACGTGTGCGAACGTATGTATGTACATGTGTAGGCTTCGATGCGTGTGCACGCAAGCGTGCGTGCATACCTGAATGTTAAAATGTACGTACGTATGTGCATGTGTGATTGAAAATATGTGCTTGTCAGCCCGAGCTACACGCCAATCGCATTTGCACGGCATCGTCCCCCACGTTACTGACGCCACACAGCTTGTATAAACATTTGTTGTGCATTGGTTGAGCGTCGCTGCACCTGGTACAACTTCGCAATGCCTTGAGCCGTTCCAACGCAATGCCGCAAGCCAATGCGACGCAACGCGAAGCAGTGCAAAACCATGTGGGGCAATGCGAAGCAATGCCGAGCAATGCAAGCCACTGCAAAGCGGGCGGCGGCGAGGTGGCGGGCGACGACGAAGCGGCGACGGCGGTTACATGGCAGCCAGAGCGGCCCGCAGGCCCAAGCGACGGGCGGCCACATGGTTGCCAGGGCGGCCCGCGGGCCCAGATCGTATGAAAAAAACATGGTCCCGTAAGTGCACTGTGTGGGGAAAAAGTAGGGCCCCCTAAGTGGCAGTAGTTGTTTGGGGCAGAAGTGAGAGCCCTGACTGCACATTGTTCGACGAGCTGTTGGGCGTGCTGTGATGTACGCCAGCGCTGTGGTACGCAGGGCCACAGAGAAAGCACCGCAAACCTCATCATCCCCCTCCTCCTCCCCTTCCTCTTCCATTTCCCCTCCATTCTATGCTATGTTATGCCAAGCGGTGCCAAGCAATGCACAGCAATCCGAATCAATGCAGAACAATGAAAAGCAGTGATAACCAGGGCGACGCAATACCAAACAAGGCAAAGCAATGCAACGCAAAGGAAGGTCAAACAAAGCAGTGCGAAGCAAAGCAACTAAAGCAATGCAAAACCATATAACGCAATGCTAGCAACGCAAAGCAATGCGTCGCAACGCAGGCTCAGACGGCGGCGGGACGGCGACGGCGACCACGTAACCGCCAGACTGACGGGCAGGCCCGGAGCGACGGGGTGGCGACGGCGACCACATAGCCGCCATACCGGCGTTGGCAGGCCCTGAAGACGGGCGGTGACGGGGCGGCGACGGCGCTCACATGGCCGCCGCACAGACGGGAAAGCCGAGCTCCTTAGACAAGAGATAGGATACCCTGAGGGCAAGCACTGACTGATTGGGGAACATTGAGCAAGAGACATTGACAAGAAAGAGTGGGAGGGAGGGGCCTCGTCCCTCCGCAGCCTCCTTCTCCTCTCCTTCCTCCTCCCTCGGTCACCTCTGCTGAAGAGAAAAGCGAGAGCAGAGAGAATGTGTGAGGGAGAGTGGGGCAACCATAGAAAGCAAGAGAGAGAGAGAGAGAAGGAGAGAGTGAGAGATAGAGAAAAACAAGAACACGAAAGAGAAAGCGAGGAAGACAGAAACAGAGAGGGGCGCTGCTGGAGGCTTTGCGGTCCGCGTTTCACGAGGCTCTAAGGGTTCGCTGCTCTGGGTTGCAACGAGTGTTGGCGCGCCTGTCTAGCTTCGCAGGGTCTGTCTCCAACTAGTGGCTCACCGAGGTTCAGTGGCGTGGTGGCCAGAAATTGCGGACGACTGATTCGTCATGGCTACTAAGTTCAGACTTTACTCGGCCTGCCAAGTGTACGTTGTCGGCTTGCTGCGCATGCGTGTGAACTCGAAGGGCAAGCCAGACCATCTCAGCAATGATCCGGACATCTATGGAGACCACGCTGCGTGCTGCAATACGGCCCGCTGCATTTCGATGCGGCACGCCTCGCTGGACGGCGTTTTGGCGCAGGCTGGCCGCGACGCAGGGTATTCGGTGCTCCCGCAGCAAACCGTACCCGAAGTCGGTTCGACAAAAACGCCAGCGGGACAGCAGAAAGGTCCTGGAGGAGGCCGTCATGGACGTGGAACTGTTCGGGCAGCCGGCGGACCCAGAACGCCTCTTCGACGGCACGGTGCGCCACCCCGCGGCGGCGCAGATCCTACTGGGGACAGCCCCGACGCCAGGAGCAGCCACTGCGGAAGGCGTGCGGTGCAAAGAGGACCGCTGCCCGGACAGGAGCGACAGGGCCGTCGTCCCGTGCGCCGTCGAGGCCTTGTTCCGCGCGGGCGGCAAGTTGTCCGACTTGTTGGACGTGCTTGCTGTCATGGCGGCGCAGCGCCAGCGGGACCGTGGCGCCCTGCCCGCGCGCTGGGGGGGCCCGCTGCTGCACGCTGATCAGCGCGCGGCTTGCCATGCGCGCGGCCCGTGCCCTGCTGGGCGCGGTGCCCGCCCAGTGTCGGCTCTGCGGGCCGTGCGGGGCAGGGCGGCGTGGGGCGCCCAGGCCGCGGGCCCGGCGGGCGGCTGGGCCGAGGGCTGGGCGGGCCGCGGCGGCGGGTAGCCCCCCCCTCGTTTCTTCCCTATGGTTGGATTGTTCACTGGGCTGCGAGAGAGAGAGGGAACGAGCAAGAATGCGGAGATCCCTTCCGCCATGCGTTTATTTATACATATATATACACATGCATAGGTGCACTTAAACATATACCATATTTGATGCATACATACACACCAGCATATGCATATACACATGTATGGATGTGTGTAGGTATGTATGCATGTATGTATATATGTATATGCGGGTACATTCAGGCGTGTATGTATGTATGTTTGTATATATGAATGTGTGTCTGTATGTATGTGTGCATGTATGTAGGTACATATGTATATTCACACGCGTGGTTTGACCCCATCTTTGTGTTGGCATAGCTGCTTAGCCAACCCGGCTAAACCAGCTACATACTACGGATAGGGATTCTCAGAATGTTATGTGTGTGTCACAGTTGTGCTCTGAGTGCGCCCCGCTTTTGCCTGCTAAGGCGGCCTGATGCACTTTAGCCCCGTGGGCTGGGCTGATTTCAGCTGGGGTGCGCGTAAGTAAACTAAGCAAGTTTGAATACGTTAGGTGTGTCGGTTGAGACGCGGTATAGTTAATCACACCTTAGCTAGAGTGGTGTAGGCTAGGCCTAACATGTGCCTACAGCCTAACTTGCAGTACGCGCTCCCGAACATAATTTAACGCGGTCTAGTAAGATTTAGGGCAATCGAGCATGGCGCATAAAACCCATCACGTCGTACAGCGCGCAGTTTCTTTTCTGCGGCTGTCTACTCTCAGCTGCTGTTTTTTGTCTCAGCGCAGTATTCGAACAACTTGCGGTTTGTTCATACGGCTCGTATGTTTGCAAAGCCTTTGTTAGCACACTTATATATAGATAACGCTTCATTTCCATACCCCGCGACCCGTGCAGTACATTCGCAGGCTTGCAGCTTCCAGTTGTATGGCGAAAGGCCTTACGGCCAGCGCCGCCGACCCTGAAGGCGGCACCTCCCCTGGGACGCGCGCTGGCGCCCTTTGGGCCCACTTGAACCCCTGGGGGGGGGGTTGTATTCTAACCTGGGACCACCTTCCCCCGCCACAGGCGGCTTGGGAGCTTCCTCCAGGACCCCCCCCCCGCGGGGGGGGACCCTTCCCTTGTCCTCCCTGTCCACAATGGGGGACCGGGAAGCGGAAAAGGGGGCCGCCAGGCCTCCGGGGAGGAGCGGTAATTTGACGCGGGGCCCTCTCCGTACCCCCCCCCGTCTTGCCCCCCCCTTTACCTCCCCTCAATCCGCCACTTGTACCCCTCCCTCGTCAGAGAGGGAGAAAATTTGAAGGAACCGAGTTCGTGGGAATCGTGACGACGACGACGACGACGACGACGACGACGACGACGACGACGACGACGACGACGACGGCGAAAACGACGAAGACGGCGAAAACGACGAAGGCGGCAGCGCTTCATACATGCCGAAGGGTCGGCGGATCTGACTTTGGCGTGACGCAGCATGGTTTCGCACTGTCGCTCTTAAGTGGTTGATAACTTTGTTGCGCCTTACATGTCCTACGTTTTCGCAGCGGGTGGATCGAACATCTCATTCAGTTGTCTTCGATGGCTGTGTCTGTTTAGGTTTGTGATCGCGCTTTCGGATGTCCCATATACCAACAGATCGAACATGCTGTATCAGTGGTTGTTGTCGACGTTGTCCGTTGAGCCGTGGTGTGGGCTATTTGGTGCTTGTTTCAGTCTGCTGGAATCGTGTGTGACATGTTGTGGCAGTGCAACCTTCAGATGTCCATACATGTAGCGGCTTACTTACCAGCCTAATCAGCAGAAGGTTTGGCCAAGAAGGTCGCTATGCTTTTTTTTTAAATGGCAGTCCAAACTGTTGTCTTCGTGTGCAATCGTTTGGGTTTTTTTGGGGGGGCTATTCGTGTCGCCATCGAGGGAGCACCGGGGAAGGAGGGGAGTGCGGAGCCTGGGCTGGGGAGGAGAAGCGGAGCAGGGGAAGAGGAGGATGCTGCCGAGCAGGAGAAGTTTTTTGTTATATATCGGTGATGGCGCGGCCCTCGGGTCGAACTGTAGCTCGACCCCCTGGTTGCGATCTGTGGCGCGCTGCAGCTCTCCCCCCGCCATCCCTCGCCCCGACCATCGGGCTGAACTGCAGCTCGGCCCCCGCCCAACGACCCCCACGACGCCCCCTTGCGACGGCCCCCGCGGCGGCCCCCGGCCCTCCCGCGACGCCTCCCCGCGACGCCCCCCCGCGCCGACCCGCCGCCCTGCCCGACTCCCTGCCCGCCGCCCTCCCCGACGCCCAGCCTCCGCGCCCCGCCCTGCACTCGCGCCGACGCCCTCGCCGCCCCTTGCGCACGCCCCGACGACAGCCCCTGCCCCGCGATCCCGCAGCCGACGGCCCTCGCGGCGGCCCCGCGACCCCCTGCCGGACCCGGCTGCCGCCCCACGACCCACCACCTGAGGAGGGAAACAAACACACAGACACAATTAATCGTCGATCCCCCAGAAAAAATTGGAAAATATGGGAACTGGGTGGGGGAAGACAAATCCCTACAAAATATTGGAAAATACGGGGGACCCTGTTATTTGTGTGTATTTATTTGTGTGTCCCAGGGCCCCTGCACGAAGAATGGCGCCGACGAGAGCTAGCTCGGGCGCAGAGCTGGTTTCCGAAAGCAGTGCGGCAGTTCGGCCGGCCGCGGTGGCCGCAGTTCGTTGGAGCGCCGCGCGTGCATGAAATGAGCGGACAACGTATGCATCGCAGGTTTGTTTCGTTGTGTGTGTATGCTTGTTGTTGTTGTTGTTGTTGTTGTTGTTGTTGGTGTTGTTGTTGTTGTTGTTGTTGTTATTGAACTTCCATCCTGGAAGGATGATTAGTTTGGATCCCCTTTCACAGGTGCACACTGCGTGTTTCTATTCAAGTCCCGCGGCTCTCACCCTCTTTCTTTATCAGCGGAAGCCTTCCTGCTCAAATTGTGTCGTTCACCTCCCAGCTACAACAACAACAACGGCCCCTGCCTGATACTTCATCACAATGAATTCCAAAATCGCGATCTCGCGCAGGATTTCCTTACACGTTATGCAAGAATCGCGCTCTCGTGTGGGACTCCCTCACAAGTTATTCAGACGCCGCGCCCTCGACTTTCAGGGATCACAACCCCGTTTTGGCCTTTCTCATGAATTACTTGAGAATCGCGCTATCGCTCGAGACTTCCTCGCGATGCATGCAGGACTCGCGCTTCAGCAACCCGCATGCTCGACCTGGCCGCATGGGCCCGCCTTCCCAACCCGCCCGCTGGGGTCTGCACCCCCGATCTGCCCGTCTGGTTCTGCCACGTGTTTTCTTCTCCTACCCCCCCTTCTGCTCATTTCTCTCATGCTCCATCCTTCTCCCTCCCCCATCCAGCCGTCCTCGTTTCCCCTGTTTTAGCGGCTGCGCCAACTGCACGCGGCAGGTCAGCAAGATTTGTCCCCAAGGGGGTACGATCGAAGACGAAGAGGGCGTGTACCAAGGGGTTTGGGATATACGTCTTGGATGGCACGCGAGTAGATAGAAGCGAACTGTCTTACATTGATTGCTGGTGTTGCCGCTGCTGTTGTGTGTTAGTGGATTGATTGTTTGTGATCGTGCTTGTTTGTTTGTTCGCCCCCTCCCTCCTTTCCTGTTTCTATGGGTATCTCGTTGTCTCTCGCCTTCGATCTGTTCTATACTTTACAAACATATGTGCACGTGCGTGTATGTACACATGTGCATGTCTGCGCAATGTCTCTGGAGAGATATGGCTGTGTCTGCCCTCTCTCTCTATCGGTTGCCCTTTCGTTTGCCCTTGTGAGGTTTAAGCTTCTCAGTTGCTGAGCGCCTCATCTGCGCAGCCTGATGGTTTCCACGAGGGGGCATGCGGATGATTTTTCACGCTGCCCACACATCTTCATGTAGCTTCTAAGTCCACCACCACTTGATTTACTACAGCGATTCGTTGCACAGGCGCTGCAATTGCTACGCATGCGACGGCCCGTGCTGCAAATCTGACCTGCTCGTTTTGCAGGTCATAGTCGGTTTTGCCATCCTGAAGCTGTGCAGGATGTTGTCCGAGAGCTTCGCCGCGCCCAAGGAGGTCGTCCAGGATTGGCGTAAGGGAGCTGTTAAACGCAAGTCATGGGTCTTTGGGTGCCCCAGTGCCCGAATGTTGCCGAATGTTGCCCGAAGAGGCTCAGTGTCTTGCCGCAACAAAAGTTCGACGAAGGTGACATGTAACCCAACTAGACACGCTAGAGAAAGGGTCCTCTCTGGTTGTGTGTATCGTGTTACGGGCGGGCTCCCGGCGCACGATGTGTTGGATTCCGCGAGGGGTACCAAGTGTTTCGATGATCTTAGACTTGTGGACAAGACATGTCGCAGATCTGTCCCAGGGAGTCCTTGGCGAACAGTCGAGCTAGAACCAACAGAAACTCCAGCTGCCTCACGAGCAGCGTCCCAGCACACAAATCTGGCCTACACGACCACCCTTCGGGTGATGAGCAGGCTCGGGGGGGAGGAACCAACGTCTCACTCAATCGATCTCCTGATCGATCTCACGAACATGAAACCGACACCGATTTCCCAGTGTGGGGCTCTCCGTTGCACTGCGACCTCCAAGGATCTCAGCAGTGAGTTTTGGGGGGGAGGGCAGGAATGGATGGAGGGAGGGAGGAGGAGGCGGAGGGGGCTTCGGCTCCACCGCGCGGAGCGATCAGGATGAAGACGCCAATCGTGCCAGACAGATGGCGAAGGGAGGGGAACAACACGGGAGAGACCAGGACTAGGAGGAGGGGGAGGAGGAGGAGGAGGAGGAGGAGGAGGAGGAGGAGGCGGAGGAGGAGGAGGCGAAGGAGAAGGAGGAGGAGGAGGAGGAGGAGAGGAGGTGGAGAAGGAAGAGGAGGGGGAGGAGGACGAGCAGGAGGATGAGGCAGAGAAGGCGGAGGAGTTGGAGGAGGCGGAGGAGGAGGAAGGAGGAGGAGGAGGAGGAGGAGGAGGAGGAGGAGGAGGGGAGGAGGAGAGTTGGAGGAGGAGGAGGGAGCAGCAGGAGGAGGAGGAGGAGGAGGAGGAGGAGGAAGAGGAGGAGGGGGAGGAGGAGGAGGAGGAGGAGGAGGAGAGGAGGAGGAGGAGGAGAGGATCGAGGAGGAGAAGGAGGGGGAGAAGAGGAGGTGGAGGAGGAGGAGGAGGATGCGGAGGAGGAGGAAGAGGAGAAAGAAAAAAGGAGGAAGGTGGAAGGAGGAAGGAAGGAGGAAGGAGGAATGAGGAGGAGGAGGAGGGGAGGAGGAGGAGGAGGAGGAGGAGGAGGAGGAGGAGGAGGAGGAGGAGGCGTCCTCCCACATCCAACGGATCTCTTCTTCGTCTTGGCTTTCCGTGGCCAGCCCCCGACTCGGTGGTGGCGGCGAGGGCGGGCTGCAGAGCGGGACGCCAGAGCCTGGCCGAGGAGGAGGAGGAGGAGGATGAGGAGGAGGAGGGGGGGAAGGAGGAGGAGAAGGAGGAGGAGAAGGAAGAGAAGGAGGAGGAGAAGGAAGAGAAGGAGGAGGAGAAGGAGGAGGAGGAGGAGGAGGATCGAGGAGGAGGAGGAGAAGGAGGAGCAGAAGGAGGGGAAGGAGGAGGAGGAGGAGAAGGAAGAGGAGGAGGAGGAGAAGGAAGATTGAGGAGGAGGATCGAAGAGGAGGATCGAAGAGGAAGAGGAGGAGGAGGTCCCAGGGCCCCCTGCGCGCGACGACGACGACGACGGCAACGACGACGACGACGACGACGACGACGACGACGACGACGACGGCGACGACGACGGCGACGACAACGACGACGGCGACGAGGGCGATGATTCATGCAAGGAGGCCCCGAGGCCACCACGGCGGGGCCCCCAGGCCTTGTTTCCCTGGCCGTGGGCACGCCTCCCCCCCCCCCCCCGACAGCTCAGGCAGCACCTCCAGGGGGGTGGGGGCCTCCCGAAGGAACGAACGAACGAACGCACGAACTACCACTGCGGACAGCTGTCCGGGCCTGCTCGAGACCTGGTGGAGGAGGCCGTAGCCTCTTCAAACCTGTACATATGGACTACACGCGATCATGCATATGGACAGCGAGACAATAAGAAAAACAAATCTGCGACGGAGGAGGGGAGGAGGGAAGTCCTGGATGTGGATGTCGGCGTAGTGTCGTTACGTGAGGTGTGCGTATTGCCGTTCGAGTGTCGACCAGGTGGTGGTGTCTTGGGCCGTGCGAATCCAGGTAAAGTCGTTGGGTTGGCCTTTTGTAGTCGGTGTGGGCGTTGGATGCTGGTCGGGGTTGTTTTGTTGGAGGAACTTGACGAAGTCGTCTTCCCAGCGTTTTCGCTGGCCGCCTTGCTGTCGTTGTCCGCGTTGGCGTGGGTTCTCTCCTGGTTGCCAGTGGAGTGCGCGTCACGTCCACCTGGTTGGGTCATGGTTAGCAACCCTCGACGCCATACGCCACGACTTCTGTCTGTGAACCGTCTCCCAATTTGCGACTTGGTGGTGCTGCATGAG